AAATTAGTTCTAAAAGTCAGCAAATTAATTCGAAAAGTTTAGCCCCTTTTTTTTGGTAGTTTAGTATTTTTTTCAGCTAGAAACGCAATTGTTTTACAAAATTAAAACATGTTCAGTTTTTTAATTAAAGTAAATGTCTTTTCCAGCGTTGGACGATTTTAGCCACAAATTCAATTTTACAAATTTTTTTCAAAAATTAGAGTTGGACCAACAGGTAAAGTAAAAACTCAGTTTTTCACGAGATTTTGCTAAACCGAGACAAAAAAATGACATTATGAACGTCGAAATACGATTTTTTAGCCAAAAATGCCATTTATTCAAGGAGTTTTAATAAGATTAGATAAAAAATGGTGTTATTTTAGGTTTTATAGGTAATTTGGCTCGGTTTTTTTTACGTATAGTAGAAATGTAGTTATTTTGCCGAATTGAATGAGAAATTGTTAAATGAGATTGGCAACTACATAATTTTTGTTTTTTTTTAGAGTTTTAACATATTTTCGGTCAAAAACGCCTTTAAAAATAAGCTGAAAAATTATCAAATTTGGTGGAAACTGGCACCATTTTAGTCTTTTTTGAGATAAAAACTTTCGAAATTTTGCTGAAAAATAATAAACACTTTGGATTGAAGTTTTTTTCGTGTTATTTTGGAATTTTTTTAATAAATTATTTAATCTTGAAATTATGTGGAAACTAGTCGAAAACGGTGTAATTTTTGCCTTCTTTGTTCTCTCAAGAATTTTTTTCAACTTCAGATTTTCAATTTGAGATTTTGCTAAAAAAATACTAAACTAGGTCAAAAATTACTTTTTTTGAGGGTTTTATCACGTTTTTCAGCCAAAAACACCATTTTTACAAGGAATTTCTTTAAATGAAATCCGAAAAATCACCAAATTAGTTCGAAAATGGTGCAATTTTAATCTTTTTTCGGCGATTTAACACGTTTTTCAAGTAGAGATGCAATTATTTCGCAAAATTTCTTCAAAAATAAGCCAAAAAGTCAGTAATTTACTTTGTAAATGGTATAATGTTTGTCTTTTTTTAGTGGTTTAGCACATTTTTCAACTAGAGATTTTTTACAAAAACATGTCGCAAAATCGCCATATTGGTGCTATTTATGCTTTTTTTGAACTTAGCCAATGTTTTGAGCTAAAATTAATTTTTTTAAGAAATTATGCGAAAATAAAGGACTATAAAATTACTAAATCAGGTTAAAAATAACATTACATTTACCTTCTTTGAAAGTCGAAAAAAACACTTTTGGGGATATGTTGAAATAAAAATAATGTAATATTTGCTTTTTTAGGTAGTTTAGTACGTTTTTTAGTTAGAAATGCAGTTTTTTAGAAAAAATTTATAAACAATATGCCGGAAAATCGTCTTATTGATTCGAAAATAGTGATATCTTTGCTTTTTTCAGAACATTTGAAAATTAAGTTTTTCACGAAATTTTGTGAAAAAGGGTAGTAAAATTATTAATTAGGTAAAAAATGACCTCTTTTGTCATAAATTCTTTTATTATACGAAATATTTTCAAAAATTGTCCGAAAAATTGTCAAACTGGACAAAATTTGTTCTACTTTTTACGAAATTTTGCTAAGGGGAGACAAAAAATTACTAAATTAGGCCAAAAATTAAATTTTTTGTTTTTTTTTTTCTCGAGAAATTTATTCAAAAATAAATAACAAATTAGGTTGAAAATGGCGTATTTTTGCTTTTTAGGTAATTCAGCCCGTTTTTAGCAAAAACTCAATTATTTCGTCGAAAATAATCTGAGAAATTACTAAATGAGTTTAAAAATGACATAACTCTTACCTATTTTGAGAGCTTTTGCACGTGTTTTTTTTTCTTCAAAAATAAGAAAGTTTTTAAAATAAAAACTCGCGAGATTTCGCTAAAAAATAATAACCAAGGTTTGGTTGTTTCATATTTTTTTTTGACTCAGTGGTAAAAGTCCGGTGTTGTGAAACGTTTTTCGCCATAACTTCAATTATTTTACAATTTTTTTTCAAAAATAATCTGAAAAATCGCCGAACTGAGCAAAAATGTAAACTAAAGACTAATATTTTTGTCTTTTTTGATAGTTTTAACACGTTTTTTGGTCAAAAACGCCATTATTTCGGGGAATTTCTTTGAAAATAATCTGACAAATTATGAAATTTACTCGAATTATGGTGTTATTTTAGCTTTTTTTTGAGAATTTGGGAAAGTTTTTGCTATAAAAACTCACTAAAAAATAATAAACAGTCTTTGGTTGTTTTATTTCAATTTTAATAATCTCCGTTTGACCCAATAGTAAAAGTCATACTCCGTGGCCAAAATCCGGTGTAGTTGTTTCCGGGTTTTGGTGAGTTGTTGAGCGCTTTTCTTCCGGTTGAACCGATCTGAAAAAATCACTTAGTGCCTTTATTTTTGCAAAGTTGCCACTCACTGATTATTTTGTAAACCCCTTGCACCCCTTTGAAGAAGTAGGGGAGCTCGCTTTCTAGCACCCCCAACGTGGCGTTCAACTCCTCCAAAACCCCCACAACGGGGTAATACTTCTCGACGTTGCTTTTGGCGGTTTGGAGGGCCCACTGGTTATCCAACCTAACAAAAAAATTACCCCAAATCAAGTTAATTTTTTAAATTTTTTGAATTTATTTTTTTTTATTTTCAAGTTAAACTCCTTACATGCACTTCGGGTCATGGCCGCAGAAATACGGAATGGTCAGTTGGTAAGGGTTCACTTTCCGCCCTTGGCAGTCGCTTTTACGCCTCACAAGGCAGTCGATAAGATCGCCCTCTGTGTTTTTATTGGTGTAAAATGACCTGGAAGGGCACCAACTTGATTATTTATATACACAAAGACATAATAGTGACCTCGAGATTGCCTTATCGGCCGGTTCTCGAATGATATTGATGTAACTAGGCGATTGCTTATCGTATGTTGTGAAATTAACAAAAAACAATTGACGATCGAAACTCAATGGAACGGCTTCTTCGCGCATCACCCTGTATATTTCATCGACGAATTGCTCCTAAAACAAACAAAAGACTGTGAAAGTGAGATTTGTCTATGATTAGTTTTCAGCTTCTCATTGATTGAAGGTTAAAAAATGAAAAAAAAAATTAAGAAACTAATAATTGAGTTTTGAATTTTCTGTTTGGTTAAAAATTGCCCCACGGTGTTTTTGTTTTTGTCATAGGGGCTCTAGTTTTCGAGAAAAAAAGAACAAATTTTGGAAAAATCAATTCCAATTTCACGATTTTTTTTCAGAGATGTTTTTTATTTGTGTATTTTTTTTAAGAATTTGTTTATGACAACTAAGTAAGTATATAAATAACCAACGTTTATGTAGCAATAAAAGTTGATTTAATTTATAACTTTTTTTATTACTTTTGAGGTTTAGAAAACGCTATTTTCTCTATTAACCCTAAGCAATATTTTCAGTTTTCTAAATATTGGAGGTCTGAAAACTTATCGAAATTATGTTTTTCACATTTTTTATTCAATAAACCAGCTTTTCTGGTAGTTTGGAAGTTTTATTCACAAAGACAAAATTTTAATTTTTGAATTCGGATTTTTCCGATTGTGGTAACTATTTATTTCTGGATTTTTCTTTTCTTCAAACCATTTCGTATATTTCCAGAATTTTTGACATAAATTATGCAATTTTGAAATCGTGTTTTTCTCCGACGAAGCAAATTATTATTACGATGAAAAAAACATTTTTGTGTATACTTTCAAATTAGTTCAAAAATGTGTGATTTTTGCTTTTTTGAGCAGTTTAGCACGTTTCTTAGCTAGAAACGCATTTTTTTTGCAAAATTTTATAAAAAAATATTCCGGAAAATTGTCATTTTGATTCGAAAATGGTGTCAATCTTTGCTTTTTTTCGTAAAATTGTTAAATCAGCTCACAAATGACATTATTCTGAGCGTTTTTTGCCATAAATTTAATTATGTTGCGAAATATTTTGAAAATAATTCGAAAAATTGTTTATCCGGTCAAAAATTGAGTCGTTTTTGTGCTTTTTTTCGAAATTTTGCTAAACCGAGACAAAAAAATCACTAAATTGGATCAAAAGTGACATTACTTTGTCGAAGCACGATTTCTAATTAAAAAATGTCATTCATTCAAGGAATTTACTCAAAAATGAAAAAACAATAAAATTTGGTTCAAAATGGTGTTGTTTTTGTTTTATTTTTTTTGAAAACTTTAACACGTTTTTGAATGAAAAACGCCATTATTTCGAGGAATTTTTCCAAAAATAACCTGAAAAATCTCGAAATTGGTGTTCTTTTACTATTGTAGCCTTTTTTGAGAATGTAAGAAAGTGTTTGAGATAAATAAAAACTTGCGAGTTTTTGCTAAAATGACATAATTTTTGCTTTTTGTCACGTTTTCAGCTAAAAACGCAATTATTTTGCAAAAACATTCCGAAAAATCGTCATATTGGGTCAACATTTTTATTGTTTTTGTCTTTTTAATCATGTAATTGAGTTAAAACCCTGTTTTTTAGTGAGATTTTGTCAAAAATTATCCAAAAATATGTCGAATTGGCCGAAAATGATATTATTTTAGCTTTTTTCTAGCGTTTGAGCACTTTTTTCAACTAAAGACTCAGATTTTGCTAGACCGGGACAAAAAAGTGCAAGTTTGAGTATTTTTTCAGTCGAAAACGCCATTTTTACGAAGAATTTCTTTAAAAGAAATCCGAAAAATTACCAAATTTGCTCTAAAATAGTGCAATTTTTTTCAGCAATTTAACACGTTTTTCAGGCAGGAACGCAATTATTTCGCAAAATATGTTTTAAAAATGTAATTTTTTCAAGCGTTTAAGGACTTTTGTGATCTAAAAACTCAGTTTTTTCAGGCGATTTTGCTAAAAAATCACAATTAGGTCAAAAATAACGTTTTTTGTTTTTATTGAGTGTTTGCGCACGTTTTTTTGTTAAATTTTGTCAAAGATAATCCGAAAAATGTGAGAATTTGTGAGAAATATTTCAGGAGTTTTTCGACAAACTATTTATTAGAATTTATTTAGAATTTCTAAAGTAAATTATACTTTTTTAGAGTTTTTCAAAAATTTTATCGGCAAAAAATGATTCTGGTTTTTGTTTTGTTCCTTTTTTAAACGAAAAAATATTCTTAGTTTTTTTTTACTTTGAAAGGGCATTTTCAGTCTACTTTCTGGGAAATCCCAAAAAAATTTGGTTCAAATCATGTAAAATTCTATAAATCATTCATTCATCTGTATTTTGCATTCTTTATTATTTTTTTTTTTTGAAAAATGACGTCACTTAATTGACTCATAAATTTATCAAAGCCATCACATTTGATATTGAAATTAAATGAGATTCCAAGCCTGAATAACATTGAATTGGATTTAGAAATGCGTTTTAAAACACAAATGCCAAAGGTTAATATTTGAGAAATGTGATGATCTTCCTGAAGATTGAAGCGAAATAAATAAAAATAAAGTTGTTTCATTTAGAGCGATGATAAAACTGTAAAAAAATTGGTCCCAGATTAAATCTGACACACTTAAAGTTTACATTTCGTGATTGTAAACTTCATTAGCATATTGACACAGAAATTCGTAAATTGATTAAAAAATAAATGATGCAACTCGAGTGCACTCAAGAGTAAAACCCGAGTTTCACACCTAAATTACATAATTTCGACAATTTTGGTCGAATTTCTAATTTTCAAATTCCTCAAATTGTAATTAACACTTTCCCCACCTGTTGCCCCCGGGTGAGCCTCCGCCCGCCGCCCCCCTTGAGCCTCACATGCCTGTAGTTGTTCATCCCTTGCATTTTCTGCAACAAAAACACCAAAATCTCGCCGCCACAGTTCGGAATTTGGTTCAACAAAAGCACAAATTTGTTCATTTCGTCCATGACTTCGTCGAGGGACTTGGTCGCGGATCTGGGGGGCGCAGCCTCAGTGGGGCGCACGACCACGGGCTCGTCCCCCATGAGCAGCAGCGAGCCGCACATGAAGAAGCCCAAAATGGGGAGGCACAGCCACTGTTGGCGGAGTTTGCGGAACATTGAGGACCGGTAATGTCAGTAGGTCGGTTTGCACTGAACATTTTTCAAAGAAGGTGAAAGGGAAATTTGATGATGAGTGCGATGAGTTGGTACTCCCGCCAGAAGGTGAGTGAGGAAAGTGGTGCTCAAGAGCG